ATGCCGCCAAAGGTCCGCGAGAGGCAGCGAAAGAAAGTTAGCAAAACAACAGCGAGCCACATAGATAAGATATCCTTTATTTGTCCCACACTGGGGAAATTTAGTCTACAGCAAGAAGAAAGAAGAAAAACAAAGTGTTTGCATTCACAAAATAAATGTACACCGTTCAATTAAGTGCAATATAAATATAGATATAGATAAGGTGGCTGTGCTGCTTGTGGAGGCTCTCAGTCGTACAGGAAAGTTCCATCGTAGAAAGGGTTCTGTCAGTCGTCATCTGTACCTGTGGGTAAAAAACAAAAAACAAAAAAGGACGTTTCGCTTCTCTCACAGAAGCTTCGTCAGCGGTAGTCTACCGCCAACGATAGGGAATTTAGAAATCATGGGCCTCTTCACCATAGGGGCGTGACTAACCATCCCCACCCAGTCCTCAAATAGGCCACACTCAGCTTTTTAGCGCAGAGCAATTTCCCGGAGTCTTCACGGAGACTTCAGGAACTACGATGGAACTTTCCTGTACGACTGAGAGCCTCTACAAGCAATTGTTTTTCACATCATTTTTATTTTTTATTCAGCAGCCTGACAGCAGTCGGTAGGAACAAGCGGCGGTATCTCTCCTTCTTGCAGCGCGGGTGTAACAGTCTCTGGCTGAAGGAGCTACCTAGTGCTGTCAGGGCGGGCTGGAGGGGGTAGGAGGGACTGTCCATCATAGCTTTTAGCTTACGTAGCATCCTCCTGTTGCCCACCTCCTCCAGAGTGTCTAGGGAGCAGCCCAGGACAGAACTGGCCCTCCTGACCAGTCGCTCCAGTCTCTTTCTGTCCCGGGCCGAAATGCTGCCTGACCAGCAGACAATGCCATAATGCATGGCCGAGGCCACCACCGAGTAATAGAAAGTCTTCAGGAGTGACCCCTGAACCCCAAAAGACCTCATTTTCCTGAGTAGGAAGAGTCGTCTCTGTCCTTTCCTAATCAGGGTGTCCGTGTTAGTAGACCAGTCCAGTTTATTGTTGAGAAGAACACCTAGGTACTTGTAGGAGGTCACCCTCTCTATGTCCATACCCTGGATGTTCATCGGTGCAGGTGAGGACTGTTTCCTGCAGAAATCCACAACCAACTCCTTAGTTTTCC